TTGCAGGACTTCCAAGTTCAGGCCGCTGAACGACAGGTAAAATCCCGGCCAGTGAAGCTTGGACGAGAGGCTTGATCTTGTATATCAATCACTGAATTCCTGAGCCTGCGTTCGGGGATTGACGCCAGGCGCGCGAACTGCCAAGAATTCTACATTCGCGTGATATTCACTAGTCGATTCTATAGACTTCTCACTTTCGTATCCACAGGAGTTACCACATTACATATGGCTACACCATCGAACTCCTGGAGATGCCATATGTGCGTCCAGCTTTGTCCGACTGTCATTACCAGCGGACAGGAGGGGAGAAATATCGGCCTGGTGAGATCACAAGAGGAGCTGCCGGAGTCCCAATAGAAGACATTGTAGAAAACCCGATAAATAGCAGCTGAATGTGAGTGTTCCAAAATCTTCACAATTACACCGACGGGTTTCAATCAGTTGACCGATTCCGGCCTCCGTTCCGCGCGTCCCATTATTGAGTCTGTCTTTCCGTAGGTTTCCCGCAACTATAGTATACGGTGCCTGTCAGTTTGATTGATTTATATGCATGCATTAATGATGTACACCTTTGCTTATTAGGGCTTTGGCTCATGAAACATGTTTCCGCTTTCCGTCCACAGAAACTGTCGTGAACACTTGCCTTCGGAGAACCACTGTCCCTTGGAATTTTTATAGCGTGCATCCTACACAACTCTACGTATTTTCATCCGGTTCTCACCCTTACAAGCCAAAACCGAAAATGGAGGTACACCACGACGAAAAAGTCCAACGGCCGCCTTCAAGGTCAGCCTTTTTATTCAGTTCCACTGATATCACGAATTCACGGGTTGATACACAGGATCGAGGCTTCTGCCCAAGTTCCCCGGGTCGGTTTTGTTCTCGTTGTTCAGCTGCTGTCTTTTCCTGAAAGGCAAAGTTGTCAAAAGCGTGCAGAACTGCTCGTTCAGTTCCCAGCGCGGGGCAATGTGCTTGCCAGCTCGAGTAATCGCATAAATAAGTGTACAATAGTGCTCTGAACAGGGCTCAAGAGGGTGGACAACCGTCGGAGGAGGGTCACTCCTCGCAGCAACCACCTGAAATAAGGAAAAATTTGCCTAATGAAAGTGTGCGCTCTGAGTTCGAAAATCCTCTTGTCGTGTCCCGCCGTGTGTTTTATGGGTCAACGGTGAGAAAACTATTGGCCAAAAGTTGTTCTGTGGCGATCCTTCTGACCATTGTACATTAGTACTTTCTTTGTAACTTATCATTACTCAAATTGTACTACTTTCTATCTCTCACTAAAATCTCAGCTTATTCCTCTTCTCTTCATACCGAATAACGTTTGTTTAAACGAAAGAAAAAGAAATATAACAATACAAATTCTGTACCTCGTGAAAGGCGTGTTCCCTTCTTGCTGTGTCGAATTGCGCTGGCAGTGAATTAACGAGCGGTGCTCTACCTTTCAGACTACGACGGGATAGAAGGTATCTAGGAATATGTCAAGGAAGATTCCAAGAAGGGGATCGATTTGGATTTATTGTGGTGGTAATAACTAACTGTACCAACGAACTGTGAGTTGTATCATCTCGCCTATTTGTACTCACTTGATTAAACTACTTGGAACTGGTATTTGCTCACGTTATCCACTACAGTTTATACAAGACACAAGGAAGAACTAGGTCCCCTCGGGGGCAACAGTACTCCAGGTGAAAGAGTTCAAGTACTGCGAGACACATTTCGTAGTCCACAGATTTGAGGCCGGCAACCATTTTCGTAGCTGTTCGCCGGGCACGCCCAAAGAGAGTGACGTATTTCTTGCGTTGTTGGTGGTAGGGGGATCTAGGGTGACCCGCTTCAGAAGGCTTTCCGTCACCTTGCACGGTACATTAGTGGGATGAAAGGGCGTCTAGCTGCCAGGTGATAGCCAATCACCAGTTTTGTAGATTGGCGTGACGATCTCTTTTTTCCAAGCAGAGGGAAGGGTTCCCTAGTCGAGCGACTGACGAAACCCCAGGTAGACGACTAGTGTAGATGATCCTTGGATAAACCCCGTCTAGACCAAACACGCAGGGCGAGTTTGTCTCGTACAAGGGTTGACAAATATCCTCCACCGTGATGACCAAGCCGGTTAGAGGCTGTTCGTAGTTACGCCTTGACGATGCTGGATGTGACGAGGACGCCGGGGCTGAATACAGACTCGCATTGTGCTCTCCGTAAACCTCAGGTATCACGGTCGGATCATCCGTGTGTTCCCCGTTCCTGTCCCTCAAGGAGAACGAGAATGGCTTGTTTCTGCGGTGGTTGCCCATGTATCTGAATAGCACATTTCCGTTTTACCGGGCGACGTTCAGAATATATGTTCCTTTGGCGGATTTCTGATTTATAGTGGTTCCGCATTTTATGAGATGCCCGCTCGTCTTATGTCTCATGTAGTCAACTTTTCGAAAAATAGTTGGGAATTCTTTTCCAGAAGACGCCGAATCTTTTTAGGCAACTTGTGGTTCATCCAACTGCATGCTGGTGTTTTGGAACGAACATCGCGTCAGCCTCGAGGACTTTCTGGACGATGGTCCTATATAGGTCTTCCACTGAAGCTGGTCCCAGTTTAACCCGTTCAAGAAATCTGAACGGTAGAATCCAATCTACGGTTGAGGTTAGGGACTTCTGGCCCGGTAGCAGATAAAGTCATAGGACTTACTTAGGCATCCCGGTGTCTCAGAGACGCTAGGAAATCGATCCACCAGAAATATGACTGCTTCAGTGGAAAATGAAATTAGGTGAGCTAAAGGGTATGGGCGGATAATAAGATGATTTTTTTCAACACTTTGGCGCAAAAATTCTAGAGCATTGGTTAAGGTTTCGCAGCTGTGATCATTGTGTGGTTTATGGCCCCTGTCCTGCGCTTCAAAGCGTTCGTTAAGAAATTTGGGTTTGTATCCTTTTCATCCCTCACGGCATTTGGGAAGGTCTTAAATCAATACATGAAAGGTAACTATGTTGTAGTTGTGCGTTCATGCAGTAATCGAAGCACCAACTCGGTTTATCGTCACAAATGGGTGTGCCACCAATGCACCAGGTAACCTTCAAGGCCAACGAAAAGTGGGCTGATCCAGAACAAGCCAGTAAGCCGAGCGTATTTGTTAATAAAATAAACAGTACGCGAGGCAGCGAATATCCAGTGAAGTTTTGTTTATGGAAAGGAAAGAGCTAACTGGCGGTCACCTCTTACTTTCTTGAACACAAACATAAATTGTCAAAGCATTTGTACGATCGGCTTCCAGTTAATCCACGGCTGACCGACGACGAGTCGGACACCTGCAGGGCCATTCTGAAATGTGGAACGCCGTCGTGTAATGCGCGGCAGATTGTGGTTGACGAATTCGGCAAGATCCGTACAACTCAAGATACACATAATTACCCCAGGAATTGTTTTTCTGCTCTGTTGAGTAAATGTCGCATAATTGTTTTTTATTGTGGTTAATGATATACCTTCGGTTCTGGCAGAACTTCAACAGACCAAACGCGTGCTTGTGTGGCAGTCAGAGGAAGGTCACTATAGCCACATATGCTTCTTCCGATCGCAGCAAATAACGTTGTTCCGACGCTTTCAGAATCCGGTGCCTGTAGACAAAACGCATGCAACAAATCGCCTTAGATACGTTTTTTAGGGGACCTAATATTCTTCCGGTAGATACAAGCTGCACGCCTTCGTAATAAAAAACGGCACGGGAACTGGGCGTCCGGTTATGCGTTCGTGGAGAACCTTCATATGCGCAGTGTTCGACTTATTCAAGGAAATGTTGGGTTAACATTATCCGGTTAAACTTCTTTTGTGGACACGTTGGCGGCGCAAATGTAAGCGGCGAGAGTCATCTTTGGCTGTGAGATGATGCTTTGCTACTTTCATATCCGAAAAGCGATCATGAAGTACGCACGTATCATTTATTTTCCATGTATTTTCCATGTATTCTGCAAACAGCTAGCACACTAACTACCTCATGGCTTTCGTGAACGGCGCCGTACAACATGTTTTTGTGCATCGTATTACTAGCACACAGGTTTCGGCAAGATCTACATCTTCTACGACTAAAGGATTCCCGTTTTTTCCATATCTTACAGCCCGCCGGTCGTACACCACCCGAAAGTGGGCCATACACGCACAGCTCGGATAATGTGGCCAACGCTCGTATGGAGAATGCGACAGGCCATCTTAACGACAGAGTGCGCCGCTCGGACACACTGGAGCACGCCACACAAAACGTGTCCTGGAACTCCGAGTGGCCCTTGAGAAAGTTTGACATACATATATCGTACCACTCTGACAGATGGCAAATCTTAGAGGGTCACACCCGCATTCTGAATGTGGTCTGTCGAATGACTACGTATGCATATTCTTTCGTTCTGTGGCACTTAAGCCCACGACCGTTAAGATTGCCCTATGATAGTGTTGGACGAAGTCAAGCGACATAAACCAACTTATTGTTTGTAATGCAAACACCCAAATGCTCCCAGACGGTTGACACCTGTGCTGGAGAATGTACGTGTGCTTTCTACCAGACGATGTGGCTCCACTGCATACAACTGTTCTCTGTATTAAGGGATCGGTCCGTTCCAAGCAGTAAAAACTATTCTTCACAGATTCTTCATAGCTTGTTTTCCAATCCATCAACGTTGGCTGTGGGATTACAGCCAAACGGATAGCATGTACCCATTACATTTGTTCCTAAACCACCACCGACAGCTGTTGACGGCCTTTGGAAACAAGTGAACCAAGTGATGCACAGGCTTCAGAGGCTGTAACCTGGCAGGGTCACAGTCATCTTTAATCAACTGATTGTTAAGAAGCGAATCCCGTTGCGTCAAGGCTCAAAGTCTGCAATTGACGGCCTGCCCCGGTGGTCGGGGATACCGCACCTCAACCCATATATCAATCGAGAGACACAGACATTAGCTTTTGTGTGATCTGTGACCGGCCGACTACTACCGGTGACTGCCGATGTGCAAAGGATTGTGTATCAATGGACCCCGACTGTTGTGACGGCGAACCTTGCCTGCTGAGCAATGATGCTCCTCAGACTTGTCACAAGGGTGGGTCCACGTAAAAATAAATTACTTTGGTGCTTAGCATCCGGTCTATCCAGAAAACGTAAAGGTGTGCCTGCTACCCGGTCAGCAAAGAAAGCGTCTTATGATGTTAAGCTGGACCGAAGCAAAGAACCCAGCACGGTATGTCCCGGAAGTCTGTGTGTCCGTGAAATCGGATCCAAGGAGGAACTACCGGACAACATTAGGTAAATGTCTGACTACTACGACTAACGCTGTAGAACACCAGATGGATGAAAAAGACGAAGATGATTTCACATGACCTATCAGCTCCAGAGAGCTTGCCTGTTAATGAGACCCATGCATCTCACGTGAGTCCCGTATTTCTTGCGGGATGCGGCAAGTAGGTACGCGAAGTAGCCGCTGAAGACGCCACTGTGTGAACAACACTTCCGACATCATAGCCGTTCGAGTGCGCACATTTCAGGGTAGGTACTTACTCACCATTTTTTCGGCTACCAGCCTTACGGTGATATTTCGATAATCTAACTTACGTCCTCTCCTCATTTCAGAGCGTAAACGCCCAAATGAACGATCGTCATGAAGAGCATGCATTTCTCGGAAGGACATTTGCACTCATCAAAACGACCAATACATCGCAACTTTTTATGTAGCCTATTTTGAACCCCTTCTACGGTAGAGATAGATGTGCGCGCTCCGGCCCACGGATTAGGCATCATGGACCTCAAGTTGCATGTTAGTCGTGCGTGCCAGCTAGGTTCGTTCAGTTGCCTGCAATGGTCGACATATAATTTCATTTGGCTAATCGAGGAACGTCAATTCTTTCCAGCATAATTCGTAAGCTATATGGGACGCTACTGTTTTCCAGCAAACTCGCACGACCTTCCGCCAATATTGAATGTGAACTATGGAATTCTAACTGGTAACAGCAATTATCGAGCAAAAGTTGTTTGCGGGAACACACCTCCGCATATTTTGCACCCACAAATACCATGTACATCCTAGAAATCTAAGGGAACTATTTCAGCTGAAAAATTATCTGAAGGTTCCGTCCACTGTGAGTCAGCGCTATCCACAATTCGTGATTTCTTATTACACCATGTAACGTATTCACAGTGGGTGGCGTTCATTGACCTTGAAGATTCGCTCACTTAAACAAACCACTATAGCAGATAATTTGCTATAATACATGAAAACAGGCATCGTTCATAGACGTTCTACACTATGGTGTGGTAAGCCTGAGGATGCCGTAGCTTTCGAGAAATCGATTCCGTTGTGCGAATACTGGGCGGCGTTTTTATCGCATGAACTGATGACCTTCAGATTCTTCAACAGAAATTTACAGATGCATCCCTCTGTGGTTTGACTTAATTTTCAGTCCAGTTTCGAGTTCATTTTCCGTTCATTGCACTGCCACCATCCACGAACGGTGAGGAGATTACCCTAATAAATTCTTTGCCAAACTCATGACATCAAGCCCACGTCAGGATCACAATATCACGGGTCAAATTAATGCTGTGCAGGACCAAGCAATCCGTCCAAGCTTCACTAGCTATGGTATTTCTTGTCGTTCGGTGGATTCCGTTCACCTGTGAGACAGGAGCTAAAATGAATGTAGCACCACTCTTCAAGTTCTCGGCGCTGGGTGGCAGGCTTACTGGCGCCAAGAATCATATCAAATAGCATTTAAAAGTGCCTTGAACTAGATGTAGCGTGAACGAAGTTATGAGGAAGGTCATTCCATGCCCAGAATACCTGAAATGGTAAAACTGCTGCCTAACACAAGCGCACACTCCGAGCTTGAAATCCCCACAATACCCCGCCGAGAGTAATTTGGACCAACAGTGAAAAGCTGTCTGCCAAACCTTCCCCAAAGAAGGTAGAAGTAGGTATGTGGTGATGTTAAACGGAAGTGAGCGCACGAACCTCGAGACGAGTTCGATAATCCACGAGTCGATGAGACTACACGTCGTCATTTGTTTGTGTAATGCTCCTAATCGTATTAACTTTTAATAGGCCTCGTTCGCCGTTTCCTAGCGCTCATGAAAGTAAACATCCCAAATCCTTGTTCGCAATCCAAGTAGTCAGTTCACCTTCCTTTTCAACGTGAGCTGAGTCAAAATACGTTCAGGAGGGCATCAACGAACGATTCATTTGTGGATTTTGAAATACCCAACCTACTCCAAGAGGCGTGAACCCACGTTACAACTTTCGGAGGCCTCCAGTTGGAGCTGTCATGCCTGAAGTGCAGCATGTTATTTGGAAGATACGTTGAAAACTTAGAAACGGCTGATTGTTGCTAGTTGTCCGATCTGCATTAGCAATTTGAGGCATGCAATTCCGTTCAACCCCACCTTATTTCTGCGCGTTATGCCGCGATATCAATAGCACATCGAATGCCGTTGCGATTCATCATAGCCCCAGTTTTCACATGACTGTGCAAACCAGTGCTGGTTCTCACGACATTTTGTGCGTGCTAGAAGATATCTGGAGCCACCGATCCTGGACAATTTGTCATGATTCCTGTCTGTTTTTTTGTCAAAGTTAAGGTGAGCCATTCTGAGTTGCTTGGGATTCCCTCTTCAGCGGCTTTCTAGTTTGCAGCGAGCGATTCCGAGAATTTAAGAGGGCGTCCTCCGCTACTCGCATCACATTCTACGAATGAAGCACGTTAAATGGCACACCGCTCTTCCACATAAATAAAACTACGGCGATAGTATCTCAGTTTGAAACAGGCATGAATTTGCTCACCGCTGCTGTCCATGAGTTTATCCCACAAGATATGTCATTTAGACATATCGGAACACCGATATTGCCGACTTTTCGTATATATTCAGGCGTCGCCGTGAAACAGATTTAATGCCGTGGGTTTCAAAATCCCACCGAGTGATTTTGTCCAGCCAAACTTAGGTGATAGTCCACGCTTCCATCTTCCCGGTCTTATGGTTCTTATTACAATAACGCGTCCCGGATCAGTGAACATTCTAATCAAGTTGTGGACGTTACAACTGTTGAACTAACTTCAGGATGAGCATTATAACTTTCCGGATCGCAATGATCCTGTGTGGTCTAAGGGAGAGACTCACGCTTTTTTAGTTGCTTGATTACATTTTCGTATTCTGATTGTTCTCATTCGTGTACATATTTTTGCTTCCGTTCCCGATTGAATAATACTCCCCGGTTCCGCCACAAATTGTTTATGTGGTTGGTTTTTCAAACACACTTCTGGTGGTCATGCGTCAGGCGTTAACTTCAGTGGGTTTTTGTCTGCTAATTTCTCTCCGGTTCTCCTGAATTTTGATATATTGTTGAACTTAAAGTCAGGTCAGCGCAGAGTTGTTATTCGTTTCCGAGAAGGTGGGTGATACTTTTGAGCTCAGGTTAATTTCACTCACTAACTAACAGAGCTGCATGGAGGTTTTTATGACTCCCACCTCATTTAGGTTCTCACCGTTGTCGATAGATGAGCCTAGATTAACTCCGATAATTCTGGTCACGCAGACACCATTTATCAGATGATGCCATCAGGAGGAGTCCGCTTTCCTGGGTATTACTCGCGAACCCTCTACCTTGAGGTACCCCGTTCTATTCATCCGGATGAGTCACCAGTTTGTTGACGGATTTCAGGGAAATCACTTATACAGATCTGTCACCCAGACGGTGGTGATTTTTGCAATTGAAACGCCCGAGCTCGTCAATGCCTAAATCTATCACCTGCAGAATAAAACTTTAGACACCCATTTTCAAAAAATCCTAGAGATCGGTATCCGGCGGAGGAGATACTGTCGACATTCGCGTCCGTTAGTTGAAAATATCTAATCATAAAGCGTCTTGCTGTTAGTTCTTGCACGTATGGTGTAGGTTTGTGAGCGGTTTTTCAAGATCAACGTATACCTCCAATAGAAAAACGCCTTAATGAAATACAATAATTTAGTCTACAAAAAGTGCGATTCGCTTGAAATGACGGAGTTTCGGATAGCTTCGCAGCTAGGATATTTTGTGAAACTTTTCCTCACCCCCGAAATTCCCTCGTGGACGCGAACATTCTGGTGGATTAATTGTGTACCTAATTTTTCTCCGATAACCTCTGCTCCAGTGGGTTGACTAAGACACCTGTGCCATCATACTTCGGGAAGTCCCATTCCCATTAATCACCACAGTACAGACTAATAAACTTTTCACAATCCATGTGAGGTCCAAAAATATAGTACTTTTAGCATATAAATTGTACTCGCAGTATTCAGCGAACCTTATGCGTTACAACGAAGAGAACCTGGCTGACTAACACGACCACGTGAAGTAACATTCGTTCCGATGCAACTTACACTGGTCATTGCGCAGAGCTGGAGAGACCCTGCTTACCGGCAAAACTAACACGCACCCATCCATTCAGGCTTGGAAAAGTCAATGGTCCAAATGGAACAAGATGAATGTTGAATTTAATTCGGCGTTTTATAGATAACATATGTCCTGGCAGGAAGTGTAGAGTTCAGCTGGTGCGTAATGTATATTAAGCTACTGACGTCCTAAAATGAACAAAACAGATTGGTAAGTTTATCGAAACATTGTTAGGAGGCGGGCGGCTGATGGAGAATCCATTGCATCACTTACTGTGAAGCAGACACTCCGGTGGTGACATTTTCGTGGAAAGGCGCTTACAAGATGTCATTTTCAAATGCCGATTCGTACTGTGTTATAACTTGTAGCTGATTTCTGCAGAATATTGGGCCTCAGGATATAGACTTACCTAAAGTGCGTGATGCCTCGTTAATGGGCAAATGGACTGGAATCCAATCATTGGTGGAGCTAGAAGTGGATGAATTTGGCGTCCAGCTAGGTTTTAGAATGTTGCCTATTTCTCCAGAGCAAGGGCGCAGCTCGACTATCTGATTAATAATGCCTGAGTAGACTGACCTAACAAGAGCTGCCGAGCGTTCTCAGCTCACATGCGCGCGGCGATCTGGCGAATCGTACACGGCTGCAGTGCCACCCCCGACTGTTTGTCCGGAATCACAGAGCTGTGCCAAAAGAAAACCAAACCATCCGCAACTAGATAAGTAAAACAGGTAGGCACTTCTGGATAGCTGTGGATGACATGAGCTGCAAGGACCTTGCGAAATTCAGTGGCTAAAAACCGATGTACTTTGCACAACGGTGTTCCATATTTTAGCAAAGCCCTTCATGTACCCAACTCCTCTCAAGTTGGTTTCCAGTTTACTGGCAGCTGGCCACACAAAAGCGTGGTCATCTGATGAATATGATCATGAAAATAAGAGTTGACTGGTATATGGTGTATATATGTCTCGCTAGACAAAACCAGACTAAGCAATCAGGAATTGACGTGCAATTCGGTATTGTCTAATTCGCAATTTACTAGTCTCTTCTGATTTCTGAACTTCCGCTTGATTTCGGGCTCGCTTGCTAAATTTGTAGCGCACCCAGATGTGAAGAATGCAACGTTGATTTATTGTTCACGTCGCCCGCATAATAAGTATCTATCCAAAACGTTGCCATTTAACGCCTCACACTCTGCGAAGGAAGAAAAGCGGACAGCCATCTGTTTGGCAACAAACATTGAAACTCGAAACCACCAGCTGCTGGGTGATGGAGATGACTGTACAGTTGAACGCGCGTCAGAAGTTGCACACCATCCCGAGAGAATAAGTCCGTACTGAATTCAAATGGAAGGAATGCTGTGAAATTCACCGTGTAGTAGTGCACTTGTACAGTGGCTTGTTTCCATTCTCTGCTTGAGTTTACGTCTGTTACAACCATTCGAGCGACCTTTATAAACTCACCAATGTAACGTACTTGAAGGTAAACTGTATAAGACGTGTCTATCAAACGACCTAATCTGTGTCCCTCTACTCACATCTCTGGGACATCGGTCAAGCAACCAGATTCCCCAGACAGGAAAAAATAATCCGCATGTGCATCACTCTTATGATCTTTTGCCTCTTGTGTACAGTACCAGACTTGTGCATAGCGTTTTGGTTTCATCACACGCACGTCTTTGCCTCCGTCCGGTTGGCTCACTTGTGTCAACCAATCTTTACAAATGTGTGCCGCGTGAATTCACTAATTCTAATTTCTGTATCTGCTTATTTCAGACCTGGCGTGTGCCGTTAATTCATCCTTGTGAACTTCGAGTACTGCTGACCTCCTCACATCCCAGGCTAAAATTGCGCTTGAACCATTTTAAGTTCTGGACTAATCCACCTTTGAAATTATTCCCTACGTCACAACCACTAAGCAACGGCTCCTCGAATTCTCGTCAAGCACCCACAGTATTGCGGAATTCTGAAGACACAATAATATTGTCATCAGATTTTCAGTTTTGAGTTCTCCGTGCCATCTTTGTTTGAGGTGCGGAGCTGCTTCTGATTGTCGTTCAGGCGTGGAAGGTTTAGTTACTACAGCTTTCTCGCGTATACAATAATTCTCCCATTTGTTTGGTTTATTGGGTTGGAGCGGTTCGTCCAGTTGTTTGCCCCCGCAATTCTCAGGTGACTTCGGACACCGCCACAGAGTCTAAAATCATTTTTGTGTCTCGCGTCGAAAAAGAGCCATCTCTTGGAGATCCATTTATTTTTCTATGGATTCAAAAATGTCTAATTGGGTCTCATAAGCCTGATCACCAGATCCACCAGACACGGTTTACCGCTCCTTCCATAACGTTAAAATAAATTTTCTTATGTTAACAGGGGCTTCAGTTACAAAAATGGCCATCCATGTTTCATTTGCATGACCGATATTGCCAAAACTGACGCTGAACCCGTTGATAAGTGTACCAATTTAAGACGTGTCGGGCAATTATGCGGCAAATCCAACAGCCTCCAGCGCACGCCGACACAAGGGGCTATATGTACGGTATGTACACCTCCGGTATGTACGGAGGTGTTAATGCACCATTCATTAAAATGGTTGATGACACATCCCAGGTTGAGGCGGTGTCCCCCGTTGGCGAAGTCTGGTAAGTCGGTCAAATGCGATGGCTGCAGCTCAAAAGTCTAATATGTTTCGCCTATATATTTGTTGCCCGCGGTGGAACAGTTTTACAGTGCGCCAAACGCACTTGTGCGCTCTGTCAACTTTTGCTGGCGCTGAAAAAGACAGAAAAACTTCATCACTTCCTCTGTCGCCTGACAACACCAAAACGTTTTAAATATCCTAATGTCGATGTTTAGTTCGGGAAACTTATCCATCACTCAAGTCTCTCCTATATCGTGTAGTAAGGCGCTGGACTGTGCAAAAAATAGTCACTGCAACCCCAAGCAGCTTTCAAATTCTTCCAAGGCTTCTTTTACAATAGCTGGTATTGGTGGCAGCAACGAGTATCCTGTTTTCGACCCTCGGAAAAGCGCCTGGAAATACCCCAAAATTCCTGTCTGTTAGTCTTCAGAGCTCCGCGATGGTAACCGTAAGGTGAGCCTTGTTTTTCAGAGCCATATCAAGGGGAATTGTCTTGAAGGCTAAAGTCGACTGATGACCGTCACGCGCAAAGTCGCAGTGAAGTACACCTCTAGCAGCAAAATGTTCTCCAAGAGCACAATGGCCAATCTGGTGCCTAACGATACTTGAATGAAAAAAGGTGACTGTTGTTGTTGCGGGTCCGGGTACATGATTTAATATAATCTCGCCCAGCGGCTTTGCAGTGGACAACTTCCGTCACACGGAGAATCTAACATCGCGGAGTAGTTATAATTTTTCTTTGGGCTTCCGATATGGCTTTGTATCATTTTTGTACCACTTTTCACCTAAGCAGCCGCTGTAATCCATGTGCCGGATTTCACTAACCTGTCGCACACCAAACATGCTGTGTTGTTACTGAACTCAAGAGCACACACTGCTCTCTACACGTTTTGTTCTTGTTTTCTTGGCTAATCCTAACGATTCAGTGGATTTCATAGCCCTTACCGCCTCAAAGATATCATCCACATACTAGGCTGCCTGGAAATCAGAGTAGAACATCATAGTGACATTGCCTAGGATGCCAGTCTGATGGCTGTTGTCGTTATGGTTGATTGATTTATGCTAAATAGTAAATAGCTACGCACTTCAAGGCCAAACAGGTCGTAAAGGGGACAGTGTCTGATTGCTAGTATACTTCTTAGCTTGCTTTCATTTGGGATTAAGGAAAAAAACCGACATCACATAGTTATGCAGACGCTATTGGGAGCAATGCGCTAATTGCTTCCTTATTACTCTTAGGTATATTCACGACCCCAGTCACAAATTGATTTCTGCTTATCGACTGCTGTGTGCAGTAAGATAAAACTACACTAAACTTGCCTTTGGCAATGGCTCGATTAAGTGTTTCGCAAGAATTTAATGAATCATTTAGCGCTCATGAGGGATAAGAGCCCCAGATTTTGAGTACACTGAATGCTGAAATATGGAGAGTTATTCCGATTCTCCTGACGTGGGATCGTTTAGTACTAAATCCACTTTTTCAATCTTATCTTTGTCGCTCATGAACTACCTAGTCTTACATGTTGGTGACATGTATATATTGAGGGGGGGGGGTTTCTAGACGGACAAAATGGCGCCCTAGTCCGAAAACAGACGGCTGCATGTAGCAGTGATCCTAGTTGTGTTTCCATCACACTCGTCCCAAAGTTGTACGTACATACGCGAAACTTAGACACGTTCTTGGGGCTAAGACAAGTCAGAACGCCTAAATGCCCCTTCTGGTACATCCTGTGTGGAATAGTATCCTCACTAGAATTACGAGTAATCAATTGGTGTCTGAGGAGGAGCGAGCGACGGATAACTAGATAAGTTGCAACTATTTGGCATGGAATCTGGTACCCGTACAGAAACCAATCTGTGATGGACGAGAATTCGGAAATGATTTACTCGAGATATCCACTTCTAAAAGGGACTCATCGACGCGTGACACCATTAGTAAGCTTCCTGGGTGAATTCTTCGGACGCCTGCTTGATGCAGACGCCCAAAACTCCGGGGATTTTCCTATTTATCGCGGCGGTGGTAGATTCTTCAACTAATTTTCTAAATGCGACTGATTACTAGCTAAAGCGAAAAACCCTAGAAAGGTCTAAGTTCACTGCTCTACTTTTACCATGGACCAGTGTGGTAAATATACCAGTACATAGGTGACCTCGAGCACGTGACCACACTGTCTTACAACAACTGAGCGGTTTGAAATAGACGATCAATCTAAACTGGCCGAAGTACTACTCATCGTTTTGATGGAACATCACAGAAGAGAGGATGACCGTTTGTTTCGAAATTGCTTATTTCTCTTCTTTTACACAGTGTCACACAATTGGATGACACTTGCCTGTGGACAAACGACCATTGTGCTCCTTCCCTCTTGCTTTGGATTCGTGGAGTCTTTCAGCAGTGCCGACGTCTACTACCTAATGTTTTCCAGGGAGAACCCGGCTTTCACCATCAAAACTGAATATCCTACAACCCTTATCGGAGGGCAACAACAAAAGAGCTCTCATGGTCCCTGCGCTATTGCACTCCAGATTCCAACAAGTAAAACTTTGGAAACATTAGCCATTCATGTGAATCGGGCAAAAGCATACCAAACGGATGGAGACTCGAAAAGACGTCACCCAGTTGATGTAACATTGCGTTTCTTCTATCGAACGACCGGCGTAAATTTCAAGCCTCTACATGAGATAAGCATACCACGCTCTGGCACTGAAAACCAATATGAACAAATCCGAAATTGGCCAGAGAATATTACTGTGGTATATATGACCACGGGTCAAGACAAAACAGAGGAAGGTAAAACACATCTAGACTTGTCTTTGACATTAACCCCTGTGTACCGCTGCCTTTATGAGCAATATTCATTTCAAATGGTGATTGTTGCCCTTACAACCAGTGGAGGCAGGCCTGAATATGCTGTTCGAATCAATCGAAACTACATGATCTGTGTTAGACCATCAAAAACAGCACCAAACCCAGTGGGGCTGTGCATTTCTCGAAGTCTTCGTTGTGACTCCCAATACAATTGTCCGCCTGAAACCGAAGGAGTATACAAGGATGAACCGAAAGATTTATCACTATGCAGACGACCTGAGAAGAGAAAATCAATAAATTGGCACGTCGTCTACAGTTTGCTGGTTGCATTTTTTACACTTGCCATGCTGTTCTCCATTGTGTTTTTCGCTGTCGACTGCCGATGTCAGACATGGAAAAAGTTAATGAGACGAATCCAGACAAGAAGAAACCAGACGGATATTGCAAGCGTTATGTCAGATTCGGAAATACCCCTAGCACCACCTTATTATGAATCCATCGAAACGGTTCCGGTTCGGACGAGCACTTGTGGCCTGTGCCCACGAACACAAACCCCCATGAGCAGAAGAGAAACCATATATGAATCTCCTCCGTCTTATACGCGAGACATTATCGACGATACCGGTGTTGCTCCGAACTTCCTAAGACAGTTTTATTCAAGGCATCAGAGACACGAAGAAGGATACTCTGTTAGTAGCTCGTATATACAACCTCCAGGCTACCGGAATTTCACATCTCCCCTATTTGGGCCACGCGCCCAAGATCCGCCTACATTACGCTCTTGGACAGAGTCCGTGGACCATAACGATACCGAAAGGACGACAACAGACCCACCGAGTTATCGGGCTGTTCTGACCAGAATGGATGAGACAACGCGCGCTTCCTCAATAACTTGTGTAAATGTACATCACCCAAGCTGATGCCTGCTGGATGTAAAATGAGTGCGATCATTGGGTTAAAGCTCGTACGATATTGGTTCAGTTTCTTTAGCCGCTAGATACCTCTACCTTAAGATTTGGCTACCAGTAACCAGCCGCTGTAACATAATCTGGAGCTTGAAGCAAAACAGAATGGGGTAAATAGCCATGCTGAATGTCTATGTCATTGCATAAATAAGTTAAACCTCATGCAGTGACGTAAGGTAGACTTACTTATAAGTCAGCAACTGAATGTATTGACTGTGGGACCGAATTTCGATGTCCTCAGTGAGTCTAAGGAAGTGCATTTTGGGAAGACCAGGTATCCAGAAGTGTCACTACGGGATTTGATGACCCCGGAGAGATGAGTCCCAAATCTATCTATTTTCCATTATCGGATTACCCCAAGAAGCAAAAAATAGAAAAAGGAACTATTTGCTAATAGAAAGTACCTAGGCCTTCAAACAAGAGTGTGTGTATGACAATCCATCGAATGACTGTACGGTGCGTCCTACCTGACCGCTTCACTCGCGAGCTTGTTGCCATGTTGTAGCGTCAGAAAAGGCATGCATCTGAACTACGGTCCTTGGACACATTGATACAGATCCAACGAGTGTTCCAGTTGTCTTTTCCATCTAGCTCACACGCATCTCAGTGGAGCCATCAAACCATTGCGATGAAAGATTTGGCGACCAGCATTATCGCATGCGGTGGCTGTGTTCACAAAATCGACCAACCGCGGCACAAAATAAGACAGGATATAGGGTTACTCTGGTTAGTTTCGCTTCTGAACGAAGCGGATGAGTAGTCATCTCAAGGAAACACAGTGACAAACACCGCTGTTATGTGCTATTTAAGCCATGATTCAAACACACAAACGGTCAGCTTGTGCTGGAAAATATAAGTAACACGATGAATAATTGATTAGTTGGAACATAAGCTGATGTGAGAAAGATCTACCTCGTTGAAGTTGTCAAATCGGAATGGTTACATGGATCCCATCAAGTGTGTAATCACGAAGGAAAATCTTTACACTGTGTACACATTTCAGTCCATAGCGGCTATTCAGAGCCAAGAAGCACAAGAGCTGTGATACTGCCAGAATGCTCAAGTCTAGACAAAAACAAGTAAGAAGCTAGAATTGGGATTGAACCACGGACCTCTTGGTCAGTGTAGTATCGCACATATATTCAGTCTGGTGCTCATAAGCGAACAGTGAAAACTGCAGTGGACAATCTGAGGGTGTCCCGTTATACGTACTTATAAGGATGTTATTTTTTTTTCGACATGGAAGTGGAGGGATATATATATATATCCTCACTTCATATTGTCACCAAGAGGATGAATAAATAGGATTAGCACGTTCTATTGTGGCGCAAACTGATTTAATTCGAGGTTGTGAAGGATATCACGTTGAGTAGACAAGTGCCATTAGGCAGCAATGTAAGAAACGTTTGATACACTGAGCTCGGACAAAACGACTGATGCAAACACTGAGTCGTTTTAAAAGCTTGGAAACCGCTTTTTGAAGTGCACTTCGCGTGATGCAACAAAGCTACGTCGCGCGAGATGATATACCAAACCCCAGTCAACTGACTTATTTTCGTGCTTTTGCAGTCGACTTTTTCTTGTTATTGCAACCTACTCGGCCCTTCGAGGTTGGTATTTTCTGTGCGTGGCGCTTGCAATTTACAAAGCTCTCTAATTGTCCTAACGAATTTCTGGACCTGTTCCTGCATACACGGACTCAAACTGCGAGGTCACCTGTCGATCTCCAAACACAATTTCAACGACCGCTTATGTATACATATTGAACTGAACTGGTATAAACAAGAACAAGAATAAGCAAACGAATGGTCACTTCAACCCGAACATGTGATTGTTTAATGTCAGCAAATCTGTTGTTTTTAAAGGGAAACATGAAGTCCACGGCTAGTCTGAAGTAAAAAGCTACGAATGTCGGTAATTTAGTTGCGTTAAACTACTTGGTTCGGCGACCTCAATAGATCCGCCGATTAATTTAAAACTGCTCACTCGTGTAATTGGACAGTTTTTGCAAACGAGTTCCGCTAAAGTCAGACAAGGGGTACAAGGGATAACAGATAGCTAACTGAGCTCAGCATCTACATAATGAGCCATGTTCATGAGGGCACAAACAGTGGATTATTTTCTAGTCTAGATAGATCCTTCGCGTCTTCTAATCTAAGCTTCAAGGGCACGATGATCAGATCCGCCAGAAGAATAGTGAAAACTGAAGAATAGCCGTTCAGAAGTGGGCGACTTTCTGAGCTATTTCCCTGTATGGAGAGCGACGAATCCACTTCACTTCGTATCCACTATTTGTACCATTGTGGTCAGCTTCAGCGCAGTGTTGCGATGAACAATGGAAAGCCACTAGCCAAAGCATCAATTGAAGGTACATCGGATCTGGGGGACACACACGGACATACACATGTGAACTAGCCTCATCTATTGAGGAAACTAACGCTTCAAAAGCTGTAGTAGATGCAGATTTTTCAGTCCGTATGAAATATTCAACTGTCCTAATCAATGTGGAATTCTTCGGAACACTGGAACGTCGACAGACTTCACAATAATAATTCTACTAGCCGCCGTCGATTCCGGCCGTGACGCATTTCAGTAATAAACCGATGACACAAAGTGATAAGTGTCAAGCCCAATACACCGTTCGACACAATTTCAAGTCTCTTCAAGACAGGATAATAGGACTATCTGACGCAGTTTCGGTTCGGATAGGCCTGTACCGGGAATCGCATATATGTAAGCTGATTTGTGACACTGATCATGTAGTACACGCAAGACGCATGACACAGTGAGTGTTTTCGTGTGGAACTGTCGAGAGCATGTTACTTACTTATTAACTGCAAACATCTCTTGGAACGACTCCGGTGCCAAGAGTCGTTAAAAGTGCTGAAAAAAAACATCTGCTAAACTAAGCGCCCAAAGAAACTGTTTTTCCTTTACTCAGAAATTCTTGTTACAAGGGTTGCTTGAAGGTTCCGTAGTCTTGTGAATTGGGTTTAGCTGTTACCAAGCCCGTTCCAGGAAGAAGGCCTTGGCTATGTAGCGGATAAATGTTGAACACATGCAATACAGCGCACCAATCAACATAGGAAAGGAACAAGTACGAGGGTGAAAACGACCAGTATGATGCCAGACGGCAGTGTAGGCCTACCGGCACCATATACACACACATGCACTGTATAAACACTTTTTCTCGCCGTTTTTTTCTCCAAAAATTCCGTACGATTAACAGTAAGTCTCTTGATAGGTGGCTTGAAGCACAAAGAACACATCATCTGGAATGACGTGGAATTTAGTGAAGAAGGACAAGCTATTTCACCAAAAACGTAGGTTGGGAGAGTAGAATGTGAAGTGCCAAGGTTAAGAGACTTTGCATGCCGGATGCGAGTTGGATTTACATGGTAAGTCCAGCTTCAATTAAAGCGTTTCCGATGCGTTTTTTGCGACCACCCAGGAAATTTATTCCACAAACACGTGCGCTGAGATTAAGAGTGTTTCATGTCAACGATAGGACCATCGCTACTTATGAGTGTTACTGCATTCTGGGCAACATTGCCTCCAAAGGCAAACGCATGTGTCTGTCGAGTGTCGTACGATGTGCTCGTTTTTCGGATTTTTTTCTGCCTTCCCCCCAAACTCGCAAAGTCCCGGAAAATCTCCTGTGCAGTGCAACGATTTCACACATGCTTGAGCAGCGAATTCCAAAGCATTGCAACAGTAGGCAGCTGAATTCGTGATTGAATCTAGACAAGTCTCAATCTTGTAACCTACACTTTCCGAATTACTGATTGACTTTCGCGGAGCTTCAGGAAAAGTAGGCAAAGATACCGGAGATCTGGTAGTCCATGTCGGTATCCAGGCCAAAGCTAAGTCTATATAGCAACGTCAGTCTCAAACTATGGGTCTGATTCCAGCGGGTCGCAAACATCCTAGTTCGATCCATGGTGAGGGATTATACAACGCTTTTGGGTGCTGCGTTTCCGAAACTCAGGGTAACTGTTGATCATCACACAAATATCAGCTATGGTTAAAGTGCTGCCATGTAGCTCGAAATGAGCTTTGGTGAGAGTTATCGTAGCTCAACTGGAAGAAAAGTAAAGCATGCTGTAGGGCGGTCACTAGCTGAAGACTACGATTGTCAAACGGTTTCAGTCCACATATTTCTGGATGTAATAAACTCTGGCTTATCGGGGGAACCGATGGCGGAATACAAGAAATATGAGTATACTGTAAATAAGGGCCTAATGATCATTCAGGCAGGGGATCTGCTTTAAAAGTGCGGTTTTCGACCACTGCAGAGTAACTTAGTACTTGCAAACAGCAGCATGAGTGACCACAATTATTCCATGCTATCATAAAGATGTTCGGTGTCGCACTGTAGTTTTCGACAGCTTCGGTAACCCTATTTTTATCACATCGATCAGATTTTGCGATTGGACAAGAGCAAGTGTGAAGGATGAATGAAACCTACAGAGACTGATATGGCCGCAAATATCCATACACAGATGTCGTCCAAACCACATGCCGCGGTTAACTTCCACAAACAAGGCCACATACCAGTCGGTATTGGGGGCGAGATGGCTCAGGTGGTTAGAGCGCGAAGTTACTGACCGAAAGATCCATGGTTCGAACCCGCATCTCGACTTCCCTGTCTAGGCTTGAGTAGGTTGGCAGTATCTCAACCTTCGTGCTTCCTTCGCGTGGCATGACAGCTAGGCACCGAAAGAGGGTTACAGTTGAACGCTCTTTTCCGATATTGGGCATCTAGTAGTGCCATAGAAACCGAGTTCAAGAACACACAGTGACAGACTTTGTATTATTAGACTCAAACGGTTTCCTTCATTTGGTACATGTAGCTTGGGAATTTTCCTGATGACAACGAATCTCAAAAATTTGGCCACACTGTTTATAGTATGAGCTGACTCCATCAGACCGTTGTAAACAGTCTAATAACTATAAGTTCTTTTGCGACGTTGTCTCAGGGGGATTGGGACTCTCCAATAGGTGATGTACGACATCTGAAACTTCCCAAATGATTCCTTCAGCTTGTCGCTAAAATGTGTTGAGTTTAAATGTAGATCACAGTTGGTCGTGTCGGGGCTAATTTTTTCCAGTATGCTCTTGCGCCTGCATGCCACAACGTATCGAACCGAAATTTTTTGTACATATTACACACATTTCAGGGCAAAAATTCAGTGGCTTGAAAAACACGGTCTGTTATCAAGCGAACACAAAATTGCCTAAGCTTTAAGACTACGTTACCTAACGACATTTCTGTATCAGGAATTCTATCTATTGAAGCTCATCTGCGTAAGCGGTTAACCCAATTTCTAAAGTTTAGCTCGTAAGGTAAGTTTTGCCGTCTTACGGCACAAGACATCACGGACTGGCGCGTTGAAGGAACGTTGTATTTGCGGGTAAAGTTGCGGAAGTAAAATTCGGGAAATCGCGATGATTACGTCCCCGGTTCCATTCATATCGCTCGACCTGAGTTGCATCATTTCTGGAGACAATACGTCGCAGTGCAGTGATTAGATTTTTGCTACAACTGAATTTTCGTGCCTATAATTGGTAGCATAATTGACAGCTGTAACCTTACTATAGCAAAAATTACTGATCTGGTTAGATTCAGAATGTCAGACGCGGTGTTTCAAACAACCGCTTGACGTAGGATAATATTCAGTGCAGCCTGAGTGAAAGAGTGAGGGGACGTAAATCCACAGCACAATTATCGCATTTGTTGATTGCAACGTTCGCCTGCGTAATGGACTCTACGAGTAGAGCCCAGTGACGAGACTATTATACACCGGTTCGAGGTAAACTCACTGTTTGGCTTGACTTAGCCGGATATGATAAATTCCTCAGACAGTTGTTTAGTCGACAGCGGTCTCTTTAAAAACAAACAACCATGCACAGACGAACTACCGGATACCCGGTTTTTCCTATTAGACGTCCGACTGGAACCCATGAGCGAACACAGAGTTTTTAGACATTTGCACAAGCGGCCTTCCTGGATAACGCCGTCAAATACTCACTCAATGACAAGATAGCTTGACTGGCGCCAAAACTCACATTTGAACCAGGATGAGGATATTCGACGTCACAACTATTCAGTCGATAGGCGATTATGACAGCGCAAATAGCTTGCGATTTTCCATCTACTGTTTGGATTGATCAGTTATCTTGTCCTCTGGCATGCGCTGTGTGCCCCCAAAGTGGGATGATTGTCATTGAATTCGCCATTTGCGATTGTTGGATATGTACTTGAAATTACCGTACGTTTTACATGCATTGATGTCAAGTTCCCCGATTTCAGATACTCATGGTGAGAAGATGGCATACCTCTGAATCCCAAGGGTTATGGGTATAAAGCCATCGTAAAGGATGTTTCATTGTAAGGTTGTTAGGCGTGCCCACTAGAAACAGCAGAACTGGGAATTCTGGAGTCAGGCTAGTAATCGTGAGTCTGCAAAAAGGCAGCAGGAACAGGCAGGTCGTCAACACTCAAGAAGAGAGCAAATGTCGTCTTCTAAAACGTCCGTTTTTTTCTTGCTAGCGATATGCACTTCGGGTTAGTGAGACGTGTGAACCATGTACTGCTAGCAAAGCAGTCAAACCCAAGATTGATCAACAGTTGTTTGCGGTGTATATCGGTGACAGGCCGTACCGACAGACAACGACTTGCACTACCAAAAGCATCCGTATAATCTAGGAACATTAAAAGTATGGTTTTGGTCATTTTATCAAGTGCTGAGTAGACCAGTATCCAATGTAGAGCGGGATTTTCCGCAAGAAAACTGGCGTGCATCCCCAGGTTTGTACGGCAGCGAAGCATGTGTTGAAAACTAATGTTGTGATGTCGATAACAAACTGACTGAATTGTCCTCAGATAACTGATCAGGGTTTGGTCTCGATAAGATTAAGCTTCCAAAATATTTTAGCAGAACGGAAGTGGACGCAGTTGTCCAATAGTTCCATATTCCTTTCTTAGGAATAAGAGTTGTATTGGCTGTCTTCCAGGAACCTGGTATCTCTCCGCTGATGAAACATTGATTAGAAAGAGTCATACAAGGGCTTGCTGAGAATATCCGCGGTGCTGGTAGCACCAGAGCGAAACCACAAGATGTTTGATTTTAGTTGGAGCACAATGACCTGTCATTAGTGTCAGCCAGTGTCAAGAGAAACATTCCCACTGGTTGCAGCATCCAATAGTGTTGATTGATCAGTCAGGCCTGTGAATTCACAACTAAGCTTGCCTAAACCAACGCCATTTGAATAATACCTGAACCAACTACCACGAAACTCCTGGAGAGTTGCCAACATACCACGACGATTTTTGATGCCAGACAAGGGACGAGCGTAGATTCATCCTAGCCGACTGATTTTAGCCTCCATTTGACCCGTTGGCCCTTGGGGTATCGTTCAATTTCCACTGCCGTCTTATTTCGCCGAAGCTACTCCAGCAATGGAGAAAAATTTTCGAGTTTGATACAAGCTGTTTCAACAGTCGAAACAGAAATCCAAATAGCTGCTCAAACATTGAATGCACTAAAGGACTGGGACTATGGGAGCAAGCATCGTAATTAGTGCGTTAATGCTAGCAATTAAGCAATAGCTCCGGCTTATCGTTCACGAAACTAATGAGATGGTAACAAGATGTTTGGATCCTGGACAGAGCCAAACAGCCGACTGCGGCACGCTTGTGTTTCGAAAAAGGTATCACAAACACATACTCAAGTCGGGTGTCGGGCATTGTGGAGGAATGCACAGTATTTTCAAATTTAAGGGAGACTGGAACGAAACAGTTCGGTCTTCGCAGATCACCTACTATGCTACACAGCTAGCTACTTCGGTGGAAAAGGGATCAATAAACTCAGTGACCTTAGGGGCTGTAGTACTGAGTGCAACGTTTGAAAATGGCGTCGAGTGGTAAACACTCAGACAGCGCCGTCTGTGCTCTACAATTCGGTAGCTAACGTATCCTGAATTGGATTCGGCATGTGATCGTGTGCGACAGCACCATTTTAACGTAGGTGACGAAGTGACAACCTCTGTTACGGAGTTTCACCGGACGGTCAAAACGAAACAAATCGTAATCATCATAAGCAAAGCTCTCTTGAGGCAAAATTATTTTATGATTCCAGAATTGTCCACTACTTAGAATATGATATATCAGATGGAATTTGAATACTTTAGACATTTTTGTTTGCATTCTTTAGTCTTTAGGAAAAACACACATTTGCTATGAATACCATTACCGAAATCCCTCGTCAATCGGGTACGACAACGAAAAGGAAGAATATAATCGCCCTTATGTGTAGCAAACACGATCTTGGATCGGAGTGAATTGGACACAGAGCAGTTCAAGAAGGGCAACAGAGGGACCTACCCAGAATATGCAAAATTAAATACAAAGAAGTAAAGATGGTTTTCACACTCGACACTACTACACAAGGCATCGGTCAAGCATCCCACTACCAGATGACCTTCAAGGAAAAGGTGCATCGATACGACCAGACCGAACAAAATATGATGAACACTCTTCAGTACACTTCAGGTCCATGAATTAAAAGTGCATGCAGTTCGGCATGATACACTCACAGTCAGCCTTTACTGAGATAGTCAAATGAAGTTCACCATCAGATATACGCTCAAATTCACCTACACTCGACCGTTATATACACTCCGATGGTCGGGCGAACAATGTATAATTTCCCAATAATAGTGTGCGTTTAGAAGGAATTAGCAGAACAGACATATGACCGGTCAGAAGTGATGAAGAATGGTGACAAACTGATTCACTTAGCCGGGACAACTTAGACACACGTATAACTTCCGAGATCTTTAGGATCGGCCAAACAACCAGGCAGGAAGCTAGAAAGCACAACTGGCAACCTAAAACGCCAATTTTTGATAGAGTGATCATCACAATCAGAAGAGAATAGCATTGAAAGTGATATCTAATCCACTGGTAAGGACAAATGCAATAAGTGTTCAGTGGGTGACAAACCAGAGTAAATGCTTCCTCGGCCATAAAAAGCGCATAGTGAACGAGAACAGAGCCGCCGGTAAATGGCGTTTAGAAAAAATAACAAGGACTGCCAACAGCGCAGCTAAGGCCTACTCGTCAGTCCTTGGTGGAAGGCGACAGTGTCGGCGGTGATGGGGAGGATGGCGCCGGGACTGACCCGTAAATGTCGGTTTGGGAATCCGGATGGAATGTTACGACAGGTAAATTGTCCGCAGATACGATGAATTTTCCCTTGTGATGAATGTTCTGTCCACCCTTCTCCTGTGAACAAGATAGTTAGTAGAACTGCAGTTAGTATTTCAACGGCAGTCATGTACCATGGAGAATATGATGGACACTGCATTATAAAAAATGGAACGTTTAAACCGGCCACAGAAAGCATTCAGCGCGAACAAGTAAACCCAAAGATTCCCTGAGGTAACCCAATCGCAATAAACATACGCCCACCTGAAATAGCCGTCCTTAACTAACTCAGAGGTCAAACCTATCCGGATGGCGATTCGATTTAACGACAAGGACGAGCTCACCCATCCAGATTCAACTTAAGTTCATGAAATAAAATCTGTAAGCCACTGAAAATTAGTCGTTTACAAACCCTGGCTAACACGTTCACAGGTTACCACTTTCATCTTGAAGCATCAGTTATGAACAGCAGCAGCGGTTCCACTGTTAATACTGTACTACGGTTTCGTAGACACGAAGGCAAGCGGGAAGCTAACCCTTACGGCCCCGAGCCGATGGGACGAAAAAGGCGTGGGACACAATACTGACACTGAATACTCCATGGTAAACTTTGGTAATGCTGGAACAAAGCACACGGTGTCTAACACCACAGAACTGCTTTTTGTGATTCATGGACGGAAGCGACAGATGTTGGCATTGATTTGAACTGTTGCAGTAGGGCTATAT